CCGATATCCATTGCAATTTCTTTAAACACTGTACCCAGAGTATCCTTAATAATCATCGGTTGCCTATTTTTAACACAAGTTAATTTCTTTAATTGACAATCTAAACATTGTATTCGACGATGCACGTCGCCTTTTAAATCTTCCTAACAATAAACATGCTTCAATCTATTATATGTTTCAGCCACACCTTTATGACTACCAATAGATGAAGAGTGTGCTCCAGCAAAAGTTTTATGACGGTCATTTTTATTCTAACAATTTTCTTTAATCATTGATAAAGCATCATCCCAAGGAACATTTTCTATATACTTTGAATAAGCAACTAAAACTGTTTTAATATTCTCTTCTTTTACCATGACTTTTGAATTGATCAAACATCGTTCTATATGACTTTTAACTCGAATTACAGATTCTCTTTTTGAATTTTAAATTATACATACAAAATGAATTAGAGATTGCAAATACTTAAAATTTAATTAAAGGCAATTCATTAGGATCTTTGAATTTCTTAGAGCTCTCATCACTCTCATTAACAAATTGAACTAAATTATTCTTTTTATACTGGAATAATTCTTTTGATAAAATATTATTTGACCTAATTTTCTGTTCTTCTTGACTTGACTTCAGACTCTCGCGTTTGCTTCCTTTGCACATTGAAACCAGATCAATGGTTTATTATCAGTAACTAACTTGAATTTATGCCCGTAAATGTAAGTCCTGAAATTTCTAACGGCTTGGATAATAACCAAAGCTTCCTTTTCATAGCATCATATTTCAACTCAACGCCTCTTAACTCTCTTAAATAATAAGCAATAGGTTTACCTTTACCTATTCCCCCTTCAGATAAAACTGCACTAACAGCAAATACGGCAATAAATACCTGAGGCATCAGTTGTAATTATAAATAATTTCGAATAATCTGAATATTGTAATACTGGAGCTTTACATAAAGCTTCCTTCCCTTTAATATCTCGAAAGCATTTCGTGCTTTTTGAGGTCATTCAAAATCTTTATTCTTTCCACTAAACGCGTCAATTATTCGGAATTTTTAAAAACTCCTTAATAAATCTTCTATAATATGCAGTTAGATCAAGAAAAGTTCTAATATTTTTCTGCGTTTTCAGTAAAAGAAAATTTTCCACTGCATCTAATTTCGATGGATTATGTTTCAACTCCTATTGGTAATAATATGAGCCAAATAATTTACTTCACTGCGTAAGAATTTACATTTATCTGTTTGCAATTGCAAATTAGCTTTACGTAAACGTTGCATTAAATCATCAACTCTTTTTTTATGCTCATTCGAATTTTTTGCAAAAACTACAATATCATCCGAATGAACAAACATCGATATACCTTGTAACCCAGTCAAAACAGTATCCATTAACATTTGGAACGTTGCCGGTGCATTTTTCAAACCAAACAGCACATGTTTAAATTCTCAATGTCCTTGTGGAGTTGAGAACGACGTTTCACGGTTATCCTTTGGATCCATCTCAATCTGATGACATCCGGAAGCTAAATCAAACACAGAGAAATACATTAAACTTGAAAATTGATCACGAATGTCAATAATATTTGGTAACGAATAAGCGTCAGTAGTAGTTCTTTTATTTAATTTTCTGTAATCTATAACGACGCGCCATCTTTACCTTGCGAATCTGGATCCTTAGGCACGATCCAAATCGGACTATTATAAGGAGACTTAGGAGGCCCAATGATGCCTGTATCAAGCCACCCTTTAATTTGCTTTTAAATTTCTGTTTTGAACCACCAGTTAAAATTTCACCAGGAATATGGAACCGATCTGCCTATTTTTTAAATATTTTCGGCATGCTTTTTTTTTCTGCTTAAGTAGCCAAATCTTAATCACTTTATAATTTTCTTAAATCTTTTATTATTATGAAAACTTTCAACAATTGACAAAATTTTATTTGTATTAGAATTTTTAAAATTGATTTCATGAAGATCTGATTGAGTCTCAATTTTACAGTTTTTATTCAAACATTCTTCTTGATTAATCTTAGGATCATGTATACTCTCTACTGACTGTATAAATAAAGTAGGAATTTCCTATCCTACTCCATTTTCAGTCGTATTTAAAACCAGCATATAAGCACGACCATTATTAACACGTACTAGATAGAGCTTCTTGAAATGGGTATTCAACATGATCTATTTTCATCACTTTATTTTTATAATCATTTTTTACCCCATGAGTTGCGCAAAATCAAAATCCTACAAGACCTGCATACAGAATACCTAAAGTATGAAGAATTACATGACATACAGTTTCTTTATCAAACAATTTAACTTTTACACTTCCGAGTATATTGATTGGTACATTTGCGATACAGTGGAATTCAACAATTTTACGGCTATCAATTATTGTGGGATCAATTATTTAGCAAAATATAAGTGAGTTCAGCCAAGCTCCCGAATCTATCATCTGTATTTTTATTTGTTTTGCTTAAAATAATGTACGGTAAATCGTCTACATTTTATAATTCCACGCTTATGATTAGTACTCGTTTTCCGTTTCCTCCTCAATACTCAATGTCCTAGTCCTAGTAGTCAGTCCTGATGTCAGACTTACCCTCGTCTGCTTTTTTTTCTTTAAATCAGATCCTAATTCAATTCTGACGTTAAATTATCTAACGAAAATCTGACGTTAGTTTTGCTACTAGGGAACTAATATATGAATTTAAGACACTTATATGAATAATCAATACCTTAAAGTTCATTTCTACATAAGTTTGGTAAATATCTAAAAAAATAAACAAATTGCAAATGTACCAAATTGAATATCTTGTTTTAACAGCACTGATTAGTCAATATGACTCAGTTTCCTCGACAACAGTTGATAAAAAAAAAAGTCCACCTATATGTATTGAATATCGTTCATTAGAACCATTAATAGTAAATAATTGTAGCATTCAAGATGCTGACATGAATAATATATTTCCTATTATCAACAATGCATGTTAGCTAATATGGCGTAGGTTTGCTAATTTTCACATGATTGATAAAGAAATTTTGTTATTAAGTTTTTTCTCTATTATTCCACTTTCGCTTATTAGAATAGTCAGAGAGTATAAGCAACAATAGTATAGGCAATTTAATTGCTTCTTTCGATGCTGGATGGCAAAAAAGAGGCTCTGGTTTTAGCCGAAACAGTTATCAGGTATATATCATTCAGATTGTTTTGAAGGAACTTGAAGGTCATTAACATAAAGTTCTTTCCACTGTACCTCATGCTTCTTTGTTCTGCTATTTTAAGGGCTTGCTACTAGAAGTATCAATCAAGTCGAAATATTGCGCAGGATGTAGAAAGAAAAATCTGCTGAAAAAGATTCGTATAACGAAAATTGGTCTGACAGTTCCAAAGGCATGGAACCAGCGATGAAAAAAGAATCATTAGCACAGAATCATTTAATGGAAAAGTTGTCGGCTCGAGTAACAACACTGATAACTGATGATAATGCAGTAATCTTAAATTGTGTGGTGTGGCTACATCTAGCATTCGGATAACTACTAGTATTCGAATCTACTAGGGAAAAAACCTCTTCAGATACTTTACAGAAACAGCCCATCAAGGACGTGCTCAAGAAACTGGCTGATAATGCTGTAATAATTACTCCATATGGATCTACGCAAAAAAATGAATCATCTAACCACACAGTAGCAGATTCACATCAAAAAAATTTATTTTATACTTCGACAGGGTTAACATTGCAGCATAAAAAGCTCATGAAAAGTCGTTATGCACATCGAAAATATATGAGCACGCGGCATCTACTTGTAGTAGCTATTGTATATGTTACAAAAAAGCCAAGGATGAAATTGCAGAGGAGAGTGAAAAAAGATTCATAGACCCTGAAGTACGGAAATCTATTAATAAAAGAAAACTTCTCAGATGGAAGACAAATTCTGTTAGTAAAAATCGGAAGGGCATTCCATATGAAAATAGATGCAGCTGTTTTGATTTTTCATCATTAGGATTGGCCCTTGAAAACACTGAAAACGAATATGTGGTGACAGGTAAAAGAATAATAGTTGTTCTTAATTTCGAAATAACAAGCCTGACAAATGAGATTGGAATCTGTCAAATTGCAGCAGCGGTGGATGAAAGTAAATTGTTCAATGTGTAGATTAGACCTCAATTTGGCATATCGAAGCGAGCAAGTTTAGTAACCGGATTGACTGCAAATGAAGGAAATTCATATTTTCGGTGTGAATTTGTGTAAGCTTTTCCAGGAAAAGAAGCTCGGATACGTTTTTTGGGGTATTTAAAAGTAACTAACAAAAACCAAAACGTAATTTAAAGTGCTCGTAATTGCTATAGATTTGATGACATTATTTCATTGAACAAAAACATAAGAAATCAGTGAAAATGATTTCCTACACATTAGTGTCTCTTCGAATGCGTGACCGTCAAAACAAAATACTTCTCCACAATTATCAGAAATCTCACTAATTTTCGGTGTTGAAAAATTGCAAATTGTCTGAACTTACTGACAATTAGTTTTTTAACCGTATAGGTTTTTGAAAGAGCATAAATTCTTCAATTTTAAAAAAAATTATTTCACTCTCGGTAAAAATAACATTGATTAAGTAGTGACTTTAAAATTAATCATTTTGCTTAAATTATCGGATTGTATTGATTATGATGTTCTCTACTGAGAAAAGGTGAGATGTTTTTGACAAGATTTCACGATTTTTGTTATATATTACCTAGAGATGAATTTTTAAGATAATTTAAATTTATTCATAAATTACTTTGATCATTTCCATATCCGTGCTTAAATAGTAATAACATGTAACCAACTTGACAATCTAGTAGTGAGAGATCTTTATAGCAATATAACCTGTAGAAACTATCTTATAATTTGTATAGAGAGACGATTGAGCCTATTGTTGTGCTATGATGGGCGGACAAGACACTACCGTATCTCTTGATGATGGCTTTTTTAATAAGGAAAAAATTATTTCGTCATAAGTCATGGTAATTTGTTTAAAACTTTATTATGAACGCTAATATTTGGTATTCAACATCTAGTACCACAATAACTCGACTATTACAATAAATTATGATCATCACAAAAATCTTATTGGTCCGCGTGAAAATTCCCAACGATATTGATCTTATTTCCTGGTTTATTAAATTATAGACTATATGACTCAAAAATATCATTCATATCACGAATTAGTATGTATACATAGCGTAAGATGTTTCTTCCCTATCACATAATTTTTATTGTGAACAAATGTTAGCTTCTATCGTAATTAGATGATTATGCATGTATAATTTATTTTCCGCGGCATATTCGTCGGACAATTGTTCTACTAAAAGCAAGTAATGATTAACTATAAACCGAATGACGTGATTGATGCATTACATGAAATAGCTGGTATATTCATGTGGCATCACACCACGTCGTGGATAAAATGTGTGATTTGTAGAATAATTTAATAAGTTCGTGATTGAACTCATATATATATCTGCAAATCTGAATAAACGACGTGAAAAATATGTGGGGTTATGATACGTTCGAAATACTGATCCAAATTGATGATTGAAGACTTGTTTTATTTCATTACGCAGTAAATCCCTTTCATGCATCCAAGCTTTAAGAAGATCGACATTGTCAGAGTTGACATAATCCTGATGGTCCTCTATTAATGCTGTCAGCATTTGTAACCAGTTCGCATTGCGTTTGAAAGTCGGGTTGTTCAAATTCTCAATTTCGTGCTGAAATAAAAAAAAAAGACATTAACGTGATGACAATCAATACACTAATCGATCTACGCTTATCAATAATTATAAGACGTCTGTCTATCATATAAAAAAAATTCTTTGTCGTGATAGATTAAGAATGCTATTTTATCTATAATGCGTAAATAGATCCATTAATATTGATATGCAACATGCTGAAAACATTTTTTATTTCTAATGATAACTTCTCTTTATTTTTTGATAATAAACATTTAGTTTCTTGTTCGGACAGTTATAACATTATTTTAACAAAAATACTTATAAAAAATCATTGGAATTTATTTGTAGCATGCGGAAATTATTTCATTTAATTATAACATTTAAGAGCAAGTAATACATTACATGTAATATTTATAATCTACACAGCAAATCGAAATTTCAGGGACATTCCAACAATTTGCCAACATAGTGGACATAATATAGAGAACAGATTTATTTAGAACACTGATAGGAAAGAAGTAATAGTAACGTCAGAATCTCAAACTTAATTTTTTTTCTATCCGCGGAGAATGCTGACCACTTAAGCTTCTCTTTCCTCCATTTTTAATATATAAACAAAACCTAGTCTTTTTATTTCTGGGGTTTGTCTCTCGCGCACTTAGCGTTGGACGCTCTGAGCCTCAATTTTTTACAACTTCTACAGTTTTCAGAATTTCGCAAAATGGCAGAGGACTCATCACTAGTAAACTTGTTAAGGTCCCACTGAGAAGTTATAATAATGGGTCCGATTTTGCGAATCCCAAATTCGACATATCTCCACGTCTTAAGGTCCCTAGAGTCGAATACGACCGTTTTCCAGTGGACGTGTGTGTATATGTACGTATGTGCGTTTGTGCATTCGGAATTATTTCTCGCTTCGATTATCTCGAGAACAAAAAATGATATCGATGTGGGCCCGATTGCATTCGACGCGTGATTATGTAGCTTAGAACTGATTAGATTTTCAGCAAAATCGGTCCAGCCATTTTTTTTTGCAGAACCAAAAAATTAGCAAAAATGGAAAACGTCCTGAATTTTGCAATTTATAAATTATACCATTTTTTTGACAAAATTTCAAAATCTTTTAAAAAATATTAATATTAAATGATTAGAATACTTGTATGAAAATATGATGACAATTTTTCTGTTAAAGCTATTTTTGTCAGCGATGGGTCAATGAGCAGGCACAAAAGTTTGAGTTGTACTTTGACATAAAACATTATCGAAATCTTTTAATTAAATTTTAGTAGGTTTATTCCCTTTCAGATGATCGTATATCTTTTGCAGAAAGTCTGAAAACTTTTCTCGGGGCATTTGCCTTTTTGAGATACATCATTTTTACAACAGCATATAACTTGACTGTGTTTCGAGGTGATTACAATTTTAGTTTGGTATCAAGAAGAGTTTTATTAAGTATAGATAGAGCTTCACATTTGTGAAATTCGCTATCTAATACTGTAGGATTAACATTCCGATCATGGTCGAGTAGATTATCATAATGAGAAACTTCACATGTCTTCAGATATTGTGAGAAGTTTTTATTCCTTTCTATTGCAATTTGATAAAATTCTTATGTATGTAGCGAGTACCATGTACATTTTCCAACACAGATATTTATAGAGTGTATTTTTTGTTTTTAATAATGAAAAGAGTAATGATAATATGTAAGCTGATAAAATTGTCTTGTAAACATTTTACACTAGATTTTTTAATGTTTTTTGCACAACTTTTCAAAGTCGGTGACCTTCATGACTTCAAAACTACTGCACCGATCCTTTCGATGATCCGAACACAATTTATGTACATAATTGACAAGATAACTCTAGGAACTTCTTTCAAATTTGTTTGTCGTTTTTATTTCACAATAAAAGATTAGCGAATTTTTTTGTAAGAAATCGCGTTCATGCCTTTAAAGTGTTTCAAAAGGTAAAGAATTGAAATTACGAAATATCTTTTTACCGATACTTGAGGATAACTAATATCTGAGAAATAAAATTTTATTCTTTGATTGTAAATGATCCAGCACCAAGTTATAAGGGACACTGCAATTCTACTTTTTCCTGAGACATGTTCGTATAATTGCTGCCATTTCCGCGTTGCTGAAGTAGTTATTAAATTTTAATACATTCATAATGACTAGTTTATAAAGAAAGTAGGTGGGGGGACATACAAAGAGCTACTTATTTTTTATATTAGAGCTTATTGTGATTAAACTACGTACATTTATGTAATAAATTTAAGTAACAACGGAGAAAACATTTAGTTTCAAGTAGGGAATAGGTTAATTATAAAGTTAATATAAAGAAAAGTATTTTTTTTAGTCCTCGACACCGAAAATACCTCTTAACATAGAATGACCCATGTGTTGTTCAGAAATAATCGAAATTTTATCCAACCATATTTCAAAATTATCGATGTGATGTTTGATAATACAATGTGCCAAAAAAAAAATATAACCATCTAGCGGGTATTATTTTGATATTAATGAAAGTAAGGGTTATAATTTTAAAACTAAAGAACAAGAAAAATACTTTCGAAGGATCATAAATTATGGAACAACTGAATCATTGATTGCCATATGTTGCAGAATATTGAGCGATTGTTCATCATCAGCATCATCATCATCATCATCAATATCATAATATTAAATAGAATGTAATTTAAGTATCTAATAACTTTGTATTAATAAATTCAGTTAAAAATTTAAAACCATGTAAAAAGCATAATACAATAATAGGACAATAATTAATGAATAAAACTTTTGTTATGTAATTTTGCTCTTTAAAGGTGTCAATATGTGAATTATATGCTTAACCTTAGAGACTTTAAGTCCCTCTTTTTAGTCCTAGCCTTTCGCCTAATAGACAGAAATGAGGGGATCTTCGATAGGAAAAGTAAAAATGTGTGATTTATATGAAAACAATAACAAAATTTATTGAATGAAAATTATCGAAAAATTATAACAACAATTTAAACGTTATCAACAGATAATTTCTTTTATTCTGGTCGAGATAAATTACAATTAATTTGTCCTTAGTCGATGCTCTAGTCAGCGCAATTATTCACTTTTACTCACGAATTGATTTAAATATCAATTTAACAATAATTCGACGATCAAATAAACTCGTATTTGTAAATTATGTATTTCCTTCACCGTGAGTAGAAAATAAATGACTTTTGATGGTGACTCAATAATCTTATATCCTGGTGGGACTGATGAAAAAGATGCATGAATTGTATGAGCAAATTGATTATTTTTGTATGCTCCACTTGTGATATTACACTCAACACATATTGCATTAACACTCGATATTGATGTTGGTTTTGCTGATTTATATATGTATTTCTCCTGCTTTATAAATTTTTCGTTTGAAACCTGTTTGAAAGATGTGAAATCAATAGCTAATTTTTCACTATTAGTTTTGTGACAAGTGCACTTTTTTTAACTTCAAATAAAAGATTTAATTCAGGTTCTGTCATAGTAGAAATGTATAAATAATATTGAGGTCATAAGCCCCAGTTGGAATTGATATTTTACGTCATTCGTCTTTTATTTGATGTCAAAATTTATTGTTATCTTTATATATGTTTGGAATTAAATCAAATGTGAGAAAATTAACAACTCGGAGAACGTAATTTTTTATAGCGAATAATGCGGAGGAAAGAAAAATATGAAAACCGCCAATAATGATGGATCTCCAATGAGTGTTAATATCAAAAAATCACCTATGATGTTTACTGTATAATGCTTGAAATGCGAATGAAATATAATTTTTTCTCTACATCATATTTTTAGCTGACTATTTAAAAATTTTAAACATGAATGCCTACAGTTGAAGTGTACAAAATTTTTGCCTCTTTTTTTACATGCCACCCAATGCGTTCCGAATCCATCTTTATTGTCTAAATTGACAATTGCTGATTCATTTCTCCAAGGTCCCGATAATAGTAAATTGATTCTCATGAAAACATTTCGAAAATATAGTATTTCCAATTTTTATGTATACTTTAACAAATCAAAATCAGATAATGCTTGATTCGATAATCTTATTCAATTTTTTTTCATCCTTTTTCTGATTTGTATCCATTTGAATATTTACCTTCACCCATAGCTATAGCCACTATTTTTTCATCATGACGTCTTAGTTCATTTAATTGTTGCAAAAGCGAGTGATGCAATACGACGGAAATATGAAATTATTAACATGGACGGGAAATACCTCAACGAGCTATGAACGAAGTGTTTAAGCCTGTCGTAACTCCTCTACAACAATTAGTGGATAAAACACCGATGAAAACAGAAAAAATTTAATGTGAAAAGAGAGCTAATTAAAAAAGATTCTGTAGAAGGAGCTACAAGCTTTTAAACAACACATGATGACACTGTTGATTATGATGTGGATAATAGTGCAATAACTGATGATGAATCTTTTACTACTGCTCCTTATCAAAGTGCACCGATAAAAGAGTTACCTGCAGTATCATATATGAAAAAATTCGATTCAAAATATCAAGTAAAGGATTTGGATACAAAGTTCGGTGTAAGAAAATGAAAAAATAAATTGATGATTAGTAACTCTGAGGCAATATTTGATGATAAGTTTGTTTACAACGGCAATAAAAAATATTAAAGTACTCCTGATCTCTTGAAATTGCTTTTTATGGAATGGCCTAATTAAAATATAACAACAAAAAGTGACGAGAAAGACCTCTAGACTATGTTTATTGGGATAATCCCAATCAACTTGTTGATCGATTGCGTCTACTTATTTCATCACGTGCTGCTGGTAATTTTAGCCATAACAATAAAACAATATCAATTATTGAAGAACTACGTAAAACTGGAATCATATATTAATCAGATGATTAATATCATTACTCATTGATTAATTGTCTCTTGAAGAGTGAGGATGAGTGTAGACATTTTTGGACATCGGTTGGATAATGATTCACGAGAAAGTGCTATCCGTGGACCACCTCGTAATGGATTTGAATTG